TTAAGGAAAGTAGAACAAAACAAAAACAGAGGCATGATGCTCTTTGGTACCATGCAGAGAGGTAGGAGTCTAATGAGGTTCCCAAGGCCATGACATTTGGAACAGCAGGAAAGGAACTTTTCCAAAGGTGAGAACTCTTTTCCCCTGACAGCACTACAGTTGTGGGGGAAATCAGCTCAATTTCAATATCCAACTTTAAATAAACACTGTACAAATATATGTATGCAGAGGGAAAATATACCAACATCATTAAAATAAACATCATATTATAGTGTCAGATAGGGTGTGTTTGATAAAATGTGAGAATGAGTATATGGGGTCTTTACTGGAAACAGAGAAGCCATTCCAAGAGAAGTATGTTTTAATTTGACCATTTAGAGGAAATTATTAGAGAGTCAAATGGAGAGAGTGAAATTTCACCTGAGGTATCGATAACAATGCAATGCTAATGACATCTTTCTCTCAAAACCCAAGATAAAACAATATAGTTAGGTTCGTCTCTCCTGCCACTGTTGATGATACTACTCTGCTTCTTCATTAAGACAAACAATAAAATAAAAATAACTAGATGCCACCAATGTTCTGCTTTATCTCAAATATGTAAAATAATTTTTTATTAAGTTAAAATATATGGGGCCTTTGTTCCTATTAAAGAAGACGGGGACTTCAAAAGTTGGAAAACAGAAACAATATTAAAATGTATATTTAACTGAAAAAAATCCTGCTAAATAGAGTAAGGGGAAGCAGTCACGTTCTAAACACATATTGTTCCCTTCAAATATAGGGGAAATTTCTCACACATTGATTGTACAATTAAGAATGTAACAAATTAATAGGAGGGCACATTTTCCCAGGGTTTGTGCTAAAATTTGAAATAAGTAACAAAGCCATACACTTGTAACCAGGCAAGGCTGGGCTCTTTCTGAACTGGTGAAAACCAGTAAAGAACAATCAAGAGACTAGAGAACAGAAGAAGAAAGAGAGAACAGCTGATGGAAATGGTTTAAGGAAAAAGCCTGGTCTGATACACGGAAAATTAAAACAAGATAAATTTATGGAAGGCATTTGAAGAATTAAGATCATTTTCTATAAGGATCGTGGGGGATTTATCTTGGTGGAGAGTGCTTGCTTAGCATGCATTTGGCCCTGTGTGCAATACCCAGTGATTCAAAAGAAAACAGAATAAAAAGAAGGAAAGACTTCCATAAAAATATGCCCAAGACAATAGAATCCAATAAAATTATTTCCATTATGCTTGACTTTTCAGAGTATATTTTATTTAAAACACTAAGGGTTGACACTAAGGGTTCAGATATCATTCCATCTCTAAAGACCTAAAAGTAACAGTTTAGTGATACAGAATTTGATATAAAACATGGGCTCTCTAATTGAAAGCACTCTTAATTTTTGAAGGATGCTTCAGATGCCTGCAGGCTCATGGAACTCTCCTAGAACACCCTCCAATAGAAAGCAGGCTAAAGACCTCCTAGACAAATGTAACCTAAACAGCAGTGATCTTGTCTCATATACATCATCAATGGCTGACTGCCTTTCTGCTATATGCCTCTTAAGTATTGTGATGTATGTTTACTAAAATCATAAAGATCCTGTAAAATTTTTAACCTGATAGATAAAATGTATTTTACAAAAGAAATTAACTCTAAAATTGCCGTTCAGCATTTAAATTATTAATATCAGTAGAAAAAAACACAGTGATTCAAGCAAACTGGTATGTTCTCTCCACCTAATTCATGCTGACATTCCAGATAAGTTCTACCCAAAGGGGGAAAAGCCTATTAGGGCAACTAAATTCTCGTAGTCCTAAACTGTGGCTTTCCACATGGCTTTTGTATTTCAAAAGAGGAACTAAAGAGCAAGGATGAAGTATACAATATGTGTTGTATAGAACACTCTTAATAAATCAGCATGCCTCTGCAAGAAGACTGAATTCATCTAAGGTTTTCATCAGGAAATATTGATCCACTGCTATATTATTTGATCCATAGTTTACATGCGGATCAATATAGGCAATACAGTTTAGCATAAACAATAAGATAACCACCCTTCATATATATTGACAAGCTTCCCAATGGTCTGTTAATATACAAAAGAGTGGGACAAATTACTTATTTATATATACAAAACATGGTTATAAAGGACAGCTGCAGGTATTTTTTTAGAAAGTGCATTTTAATAAGGTCCCATTCAGTTATAGAACAAATGGGGGAAAATAGTTTGCACTACAGAGTTTAGCGCAGGAGACCTCTCCTTTTCTAACCACGAAATCAATCATTTGTCCAGACTGTGGGAGTCAGAGGTAGTTACTGAAAAGACTCCGTATATAAACAAGTCAATAACTCATTGTGTGTTATTGTTGAGCTGAAGAAGTCGGCTTTCAAAAAGCTGGCCCTGCTTCTCCCGGAATGAATGTCACTGTATTCAGGGGCTGGGAGAGCCTTTGTTTCTAGCCATTGCTGGCTGCCATTTATGTATGGGAACAGGAGGTGGCTGCTGGAAGAGCAAGGGAAGATACTATTCCCTAACTGATGTCCAAGTCAAATTCTCAGTGTTGTCAGCCTAAATTGTTTGTTTCTGAAAGTGGACAATGAGACCAATAAAGAGGGGCCACAGAAAAATATTTTAGCAAAAGAGTTGAGAGGCAAATGAATCTGCAGCATCTTAAGTTGGATACAGACAATTCTGTAGATTTCCTACTTGTCAACAGAGATAAATCTGACATTCAGAAAACGGTTTGAAGAGTTCAAATGCACAAAATCAAACTGATGAACAGGTCAGCATGTCAAAGGAATTCTATCTGTTCTTTCTGTAAATAGAAAGGTTGATTCTTGAGGCAATCAAATGGAGTTTTCAAAGGGTCTGTGT